TTTCAGTGACTTTTCAGTGGCCATTCAGTCACTGAATGGCAGGTACATTTCAGTGACTTTCAGTTACCTTTCAGCCACAATTCATGTATCTTTCAGTCACCATTCAGCGGACACATTTCAGTTATCTTTCAGTGACCTTTCCGTCGTCTTTTAGTCGCATTTCAGTGACCTTTCCGTCGTCTTTCAGTGACCTTTCCATCGTAATTCAACGACCTTTTCATTGGCTTTTATTAGTTTTATTAGTAATTATTCCTTAAAAGTTTTTTAAATAAAATTATTCAAATTTTTAAATGTGTTTTTATTTTCTTATTGTGATAAAATTCAGATACGTAGTACTGGTAATGGTTAGATGTTCAATTGTCTTTAAATTGTTTACTAAAATGTTAAATTGTGATTATTAACTATAATATTTATGTCTAATTATAATTTTATTAACATTAAAGATTACAATTCAACTGTGGAATCATAAAATTCAAAATGATTTTCGAATTTCTAATTTGTTTCATGAAAATTGATTCAGAAAAAAAATATTCAATTGATGATAAATAATATTCGTATCAGAATTTAATTAACGGGAATAAAATTGTCTTATTGTTTCTTACTGTAAAACCTCTAAATATGTGATGAATATTTTCCCAAGCTCATTCAATTTGATAAGTTGTTAAATGAATAAACAGACAGTCAATCTGAAAAAAAAAAGATCGAGAATATGGGTCAAAATGCTCTTAAAATAAAGAAAAAAAAATCTTTTTTTTTCAGCTTTAAAATTGTTTTTCATTATTTTTATATCCATCTAACACAGTGTATAATGCGGTTTCCAGGAAATATATGTTTATGAAGGACGACACAGAATTATTTATGCCTTTTCTGGAAGAAACTTTAATACTGTAAAATTTCTTTCTTAATCATTAAAATCGCATAATATTTTAGCTTTTAAAAGATATCGTTTAAAAATTATTTTACATAAACAGAATTAATAATTTATGTCTCTTGTTGAAGAACCTTAATTGTAAATTTTGTTTCTTGATTTTAAAATCGCACGATAATATAGCACGTTAAAAGATATCATTTTAAGAATTTACAACATTTTCCGAGGTGAAGATCTCTTTGGAAAAAAAAAACAACAACAAAAAACAGGTGACCATCGCCGATAATTGTCACCATGCCGATAAGAGATGTGTAATTAATTAGTCAGTCCCAAAAAATCCGCACAATTAACATAGAATATACAAAATGTATACAAGATATATACACATTCCCAGCTCCTCGATACTATAGGTGAACTGGTTGCCCCAATTCCATTTCTACAAATATATTGATTTTAAATCACATGTTATTCAACAAGACTATCAAGCGGGATGCCGCGGTTCGACCCCTGCTTTCTGCAAGATTTTTTTTTCTTATATTAACTTTTTTTTCCTTTTTTTTTTTTTATTCGGAAATAGATTAATTTAATACCATCATAATAAGAAAACGTGAAGTAAAATTTCTAAGATTAAAAATAAGCCGATTATTTAATAAAAAGATACAACTGAAAGATAACTGAAAGGCCACTGAAATTTATCTGCCATTCAGTCGACTGAATGGTAACTGAAAGAAAACGGAAAAGTCACGGGAAAGGATCTTTTCAGTGACCTTTCAGTGGCCACTCAGTGGCCATTGAGTTAACATTCCGTCAACTGAATGGTGTAATTTCATCCTGTGTTTATTCGTTTTCCTGGTTTCTAACTAGATTCTGTATTGCTTAGTTTACAGCAATTTCGATAAGATGAAAAAAAAAAATCAGAATAAGAAAAAAAATCAAGAAATTGAATGAACATTAAATTAGACCATAGCATTTGTTTCGGGCCACATTTGTGAACATAAACAACATAACATTTAAATGTATTGAATATAATTTGTTGTAGTAATAGAAGCTAAGATTTAATACAAAAAGCAGCAAAAACATTGATCCTGATTTTAAAACAACGAATTCAGACCCCCCCCCCCCCCAAAAAAAAAAAAAAAAAATAGTGAAGAGTCAGCTATATGTATATTCGGAATACTCAAAGTAGATCCCATTTCATTTGTTAAGAGGAAACTTTTAAAATGTTTTCCTTTTAGTAATGTTGAAAAAATCGATAAATCCATTCCCATAACCATATTGTTTAAAGAGTTTTATGCTATTGACAAATAAGTTGAATATACAAAGATATCAACAGTCTCGTTTAACGTCATCATTTCGAAATTTCGATGGTCGACACAAAAACCAAATACAATCTGTTATTAAGTCGAATGTTGACTGACTTTTTTTTTCATATTTATTGTTAAGCCATCATTTAAACACTGAATTGTCTCGGACTTTTTCGTTTGCCCGATCATGACAATGAGCACGCGGCGGTGTGAGGGGTCGACATGGGATGCTTACTCCCCAATGGCACCTGATTCCAAATCTGATGTTATTCAGAGGTCCGTTTTTGCTCTGCTCCGATTTTGTATGTTCTTCAATGCACTTTTGAGTTTGATTACTGTTTATTATTCCAATATTTTATGTACATTGTATATATATTACAAAATGAAGTAATCTGTAGGTCTTCATATGGAATTGAATATTTTTTTAAATAAATAATTATCAATAATAAATACGTTTTATCCTAAAGTTATTATTTTTGTTCATCATAGTTAATTTTTCGTGATTTATGGTTTGCAAATTTCTTATATTGCTATTTCACGATTTTTTGTTGCTTATGGACACATGACTACTTTAGATTCAAGTTTATACAAATCGTGGTATCAGGGATATAGCCGCAAAATTTTATTAGAGAATAGAATATTTGCTATCAAATCTTCTTCCAAAGAATAACAAAACCATGACTAGACAAATTAATATATAAGTCTTCTAAGGTTATGTAGATTTTAAATTGCTCAAGTGAAAAGGTAGGGTCACCAAGCGCATCACATTGAAAATAGAAACATAATTATATATCAAATACTTTGCTGAAAAAATAGTGTTCATGCTATGCTAGATTGAATTCTGCAGCAGTGATACTACGTTTAGCATTTTTCTGCTTAAAAGGGGGGGGGGGGGGGATTATGTGGATTTTCCGATTTTTTCCCAATGTCTTATCGATTGATTATATGTTGTTTAACGTCCCTCTCGAGAATTTCTCAATCATATGGAGACGCCACCATTGCCGGTGGAGAGCTGCAAATTTTGTCCTATACTCGGCACTTACGGCCATTGAGCAGTGAGGGATCTTTTTCGTGCCAGCACCTACTACGACACGGGACCTCGGTTTATACGGTCTTATCCGAAGGACTGGCCTCCACGTCCCACAGTGGGATTCGAACCCGCGACGCAAGGATCATCTCCTTACTACGCGACTCTAAAGCAGACGCTCTAACCACTGCGCCACGCGGGCGACAATGTCTTATCGAAGATTAATGGTAAAAGAAAACTCATTAATCTTGAAATATAATAAGAAACACAAATTGTAACCATTTGGTGAGACATCCAAATCTTTAATGCTTTTCTATGTTCAATAATGTCCATCCTTTGTCTGATAAAATAAAAAATCTGAAAATTATTCTAAACCATTACAAAGATAATGAGTCATCAATCACTTTTTTTTTATAGAAATGTGAGTCCGATAAGGAAGGATAATTTTGACAACTGTTTATTTGATCAATTATATAAAACAAATGAAATATTGATTTACCAATGTAAGTTTTATTCTGTCTCTGGAATATTTTGAAATGTTACAAACAAATTAATAACGATAATTTTTCTAGGCCAAAATATCTAAATAATGCATGCAAAAATGAAAATCTTTACATTTGAAGCCTATTTTTTTTAAATACAAAAAAAAAATCATATGTATCACAGAACAATCACGTTCATATTAAAGTATATGTCGTGTTTATAAGGACATCACTCTGTTACAGTGGACTACATTTGTGCTGGACTGTGTTCAAACGAGTACTCCAGATTATAATGACCTTCGATCTTCCCTGTAAAATTTTCACTCTTCTTCTGTGCATTTCTCATATACACTAAAGCAATGACTGCGAATATTATTGTCACACAGATTATCCCTAAGATGGTGAAGGTAAAAATCCAAGCCCAGTCATAAGTTTGCTAAAATTAAGGAAAAAAAAAATCGGATGAAGCTTGTTTATTAAAGGTAACGATCAACTTTGGTTCATATTTTTTACACAGTGATATAGTATACAAATACCTTTTTACATTCTTGGGAAATTGACAAAATATACTAGACCCAACTAAAGTACAATTGAAGCCAGATTAAATGCTTGATTGATTGTACGTTGTTTTGATTCCGTTCGAGATTTTTTCACTAATATTAAGACATAACCAAATATTGATGAAGGGCTTCAAATTTAAGCCCATACTCGGCACTACTCAGTACCTATGCTTACTTCAGACTCTTAGTTTTGACACGGCGGGGGAAATGAAGATTCGAACGCAAACACTCTATGCCTAGCTAAGCTACCGTGACCGTTAGGAAGTCGTTTTTTTTACTGAATCGTCACAATTTATAATTTGATTTAAATGAGTGATAATCACCTATTTAAATAACAATAAACATTAACTCACTTCAAAATCTCAGTATTTACATTTTGTCTACCTTTTATTTGATAACATGATAAAATGCATGTTAAAACTCATCAATAAAAGCTATATATTTTTTATATTTTTTCTCGAATTAAATACCAAATACATATACATCGATAGTATCTATGGGGAAGTATCTTTGATATGTCTGTGATCAAGAAGTAATATCCGAAGCAAGTTGACAAGGAGAAAAAAATGTTGTTTTTACAACCCTCTTATAAAATTACAGTAGTGAAGACAAACAGTAAGAAAAAACAGATATGATAAAAAATCATTAATGAAGGAAATCTCATCTTTTCCATGTAACATATCCCAAAGATCTCGAGTTGAAATACAAAATATGTATACCAATAAGCTTAATAATTATTTAAAATACATTTTTTCTTACCTCACTAGGTGTATTTTGCCCTGTAACAAAGTCTTGCATATCTTTCATTGGTTCATTGGACAACACGTAAACACATCTTGCAGGAAATCCATTTTCGTCAGTTGCACTCAAGACTACTTTTTCGTAACAGCACTGACCACTGAATTAATTAGGAAAATTGTAAGTAGAAATTTAATGCAAATGCAAAAAGGTTAGAGCATTGTTAACAGTTCATTGCATAGAGTATGTCTTTGGTTACTGTTACCATCAATGTTTTATGTTTTTTTCTTTTATGCTTACTTATTTTGGTTAATATACTTTGCAAGGAGTATTTATTTTATATCGCTCATATTGCTCCTTTTTTGACATGTCAACATTTTTAGATAAGAAGACAATATCTTTATTGCAGACCTTAATATGATATTGATGGGTCCCCTTTCTACTCCCGTGATATCATCATGGATAATATCTACCTCTTTATTTGACACTTCAATAACCGAAAGCTTTACACCGGAAAAATCCAATGAAGATGTAACATTCCAGCCGTATAGGGAACAGTTAACAGTATTCATAGCTTCTGGTGGACAGAACGGTGAATTCGATCCAAGTGAGGTACAAATCGGTCTCCTTATATCTGAAACCTGTATTATATTACATTGTCATAAAGTATAAGGTTTTAAAAACAATCTAAATTAAAGACATGTTTCATGATAAATTACGTAACATTGTCTAATACATGTACGTATAGAAGACATCTGGAAGTGAAAGATATATATGTTAAGAGTGATCCTTGTCATTCTGAACACAACATTTCGATAGAAAGAGCATTATATGATTTATTGCAATCTAAATCTTCACTAAGATATATTAAAAAATGAAAATAATTTTTGTCTTCTATAAAACCACGCTGTAAATAGCAATGTATTTTGTAGGTTTAAACATCGACAATGTAACGCGGAAAATGCCTTCGCATTACACGTCTTCAAGCCCATTTGACTAAAAAGACGTCTTTAGATTCGCTAGCTCAAATTCAATTTGATAAGGTCATTCTAAAGTTTTTATATAGTGAGAAACATGTTATATACATATACAATACCTTGGTGAACCATCATTACAAACTTACAGAGTATGACCTTGTATGGATCTGCAGCATCTCACCGGAATGAAAATCTGTCACGGTTATGTTTATCTTGCTAAAAATACAAAGCAATTTTTAATCTCAATTTCATGGCAAACAGGTGACAAATTTATCAACCTGTATAACGAAAGAAGCATCTGATTTCTTTAACAAAATAACATACACAATGCTCGGATATTTGTTTGCTTGGATTGTAAAATTGCCATTTCCTTGTTCTCTTGACTTAAGTGCAAAAATCACAGAGGCTGGATCCAAAACAAAACCTTGATCATCAGACACTGTGACCACAATTTCAGAACTTGATTCACCATAATTAAGAACCTTGTAGACAAATATTTCTGTGGCATTGTATGGCAAATCTCCTGTTCAAATACGATGAAAAACAGTAAATGAAACATAATCCTTTATTTTATTTCATTTCATATCAAATGATAAAATGAAGTTACCGTAGAAATAGAAGTATTGGTTAAAATAATAAAAAGAATCAGTTTCCTTTACAAATAGCAATTGATATATAGTAACTCTTAATTTTAGGAATATTTTTAACAAAAAAATTTATTTAATATAATAGCAAAGAAAGGATATTTTTGAAAACAAATTCTTACCTATGAAGGGACTAAAATCGAGTTTTATCCCAACAGGCCTTATAATAAACTGTCTCGTACGTATAAATTTATTTCCTTGCGAATCACGGCCAGTTATCAGCACAGAATATATCTACAAAGAAATATCTAGATGATTACTGTTTAGTCTGTTGTGTCCTTTTCTTTCTTTTTTTTTTTTTTTTTTATAAATTAAGACCAAATATACACAGTCTGTATAACTCACTGTTCTCATATATGTCTTACCGGCGAAAGAACCATGCTGAGAGGAGCATAAAAGCGCCAGATGTCTTCTATTTTGAGGCCTTCAACATGCAGTTGATAAATCATGGATCCATTCTCGTTCAGTAACATAACTGAATCACATGTCGAATTATCGTGTAAATTCTGAATGTCAAGAGCTACCGTATAATTATGACCTGAAGTAAAATAATTATGCAATAATGCAATTTCAAGTGTACATGTATATCATGCTATAGATCTAGATAAATTCTCAAATCATTAATCCTATTTTGCCCGAGTTCTTATTTCTAACCTTAATTTTGAAGTAGAACTATCAAAAATTGTGAGCATTCATAAGCTGATACCAGGGTTGATCCAAAATTAACACAACTGCTATAAAGTCGACTTTAGTAATCGAAGGTCATCAACAAAATTTTATAAACCAATACCCCTAACTATTTTAAATTTGCCTCAAAATTTCATTCAGATATATGCAGTACTTTTGAAAATATAACAATGAAGACAACGTTGGGTCTCGTCTATCGCTCAAAAAATGTCAAAAATGTGCTGAGGTCGTTATGACGTTAATCTTCGGCACTCAAAAATGTTCAGCACACTTAATTCCCAACTAAGATCTATGCAAAAAGAAATGAATTTAGGAATAACATTTAGACAGCGTACAAACAATTTTAATACAACTCAAAACAAGATGCTTTATAGTGAAATTAAAGTATAGACTAATCATGTGAAAGGATGAAAAGAGTTGTGGATAAACTGAAAATGAGCGTCAAAAAGTAACGTCATGACGACGCCGGTAATAATCTTGCCATGCGGCGCTAGACTTAACGTTATGTTTATCTTAATATTTAAAAAAAAATTAAAAAATAACTTTTTGAAAATTTAAGGCAAAATTCAAAATAGACAGAGGTATAAGTAAGTAATATTTTGTTAATAACATTTCATTATTAAAGATTTTATATCAATTATGACATTGCTTTTGGATTAACCTTCGTAAAAGCTCTTGCATTTAACGATTCCATAACTTTACTTTCAATGCTGTTTTATCTATATTTAAGATGTTTTAAACTCTAAAACTTTAAAAAAGGATACAATTTTAAATGACTCGATTGCTCAAATTATAGTATATGCAGCAAAAATTACATTCCGCGTCATAAGATATATTGAAATTATTTATCTATACACACATGATTGGCAAGAAATTGTAAATATTATACAAAAACACAAATTACCAGAGAAAAAAAGAATTGAAATAAAAGGCAAGAAATCAAACAGAAAAACAAACGCAGTCCACCTTGTGAAGAAAAGCAATTACGGGTTATTACAGCGTCGGAATAAAAATCAAATATTTCAAGTCTTTCTTAAAAATCACCATTGAGTGTTGGAGAGCATTTGTTGATATCATACATTAAAATGTGAAAAATTGTTACTTCTAATGTCAGATATTTTCGAAGCAAGTTTAATTTCTTGTCAAAGTAATATGAATAGTTTTTATTATTATTATTATTATTATTATTTTCAATTAGTTACTCAAGCCAAACCTGATATTGGATTTCCAGTAATCTGATGAGAGGTTCCATCTTCAGATGTCTCTAACAGAACTACATCAAAGTCTAATTGGCTCTGTGCAGTGACGTTAACAAACAAATTTGTGCCCCCTAGGTTGATGATTTTCCACACACCAGTGCTTGGATTCTATCGTTGAGAAATGTTAAAAGAATGGAAATACTTTTCAGAATTTGAAATCATATTGACAGAAAGGCATTTTTAAAACCATTCTTCTAATGCATTACCAATGTTGAGACTCTGACTGTTTTGTCTTTAATGGTTGAAGTTGTTGATTCCGTGCCTGCAATCAAATTAAGCTCAAACACATATGCAATCTTAAAATAAATCTACATTGTAAAAATAATTCGAGTTAAAATTTAGTTTCATAATTTCTTTTTGAGTGGCTTCAGATCTCCAATGAAGTTTATCAAAGATTGAATTCAATTATTCAAAGACCTGAAGACAGCAAATGTATTATAAAAAAACAAACATCTTTCTTTAGATGTCATACCGTTTGGCATAAGAACAGAAATGTCACTAAGTGAAAGTATGCCTTGTATCTCAATCTGTAGGAAGGTTATGGTATTGTCAACGACAATTTCAGTGAAGTTTTTTTGCGAATTTGCAGGATCCAAATCAAACCACTTTACTGAGACAGTAGACGATGGAAACGTATCCTGTAAAAAATATTATCTCCTTAAATCTCTTTAGTTTAATTTTTTGAAATTAAGCGAGAACTTTTTCGATAATAACTTTTTATGTGCATATCTAAGTATATAAGTATTTGAATTGCTGCTTTTTTAAAAGCATACCTCAATCTCTTCAACGATGATTTCTTCCATTTCTGCACTATTTGTGTAATAAAGTGTTCCGGCGGTTTCTTCCGCAATTCTTTCAAATACGTTAGAATATCTTAGGCCAGGAAACGCTTGAGTTTTTTGTAAAGAAAAAAATTCGTGATTTTTTCAATTGCCACTTTAAATGGAAATAATATGTAACTATCCGAAAATGTTTCAGTGTTTCTTTATGGATTTGTTCATTTGGATGTACATTCATAATTATTTTCCTTTTCTGTTTTTTTTAAATATCTTACCTAATGTATCTCTTTTTCTCTTTCCCAAAATAGACCCGCAATTACCAGTCAGTAAAAGAATAGGACTGATGGATTTTGTTTGAAGACCACTTATAACTTCAAATGTTTTGTCCGAATCTTTGGCACTTGCATCCGTGCAGAGATATATTTTTGAGTTTCGACTCGACAATTCTATCCCTATGAACATTTTTATGTGCAATTATTAGTTTTCCGCTTAGGAAATGTGAATGAAAGACAAAAGGGCATCGTTGACCAATAGATCTCAATATAGATATACAAAGGCGAACAGCATACCTTTAAGCATGCCAGACAGAGCAAATTCCGGACAATCACCTCCACCACTAACACTTATATCTTCTATCCACTGAATCATCTCCAACCAATCGGTAGTTTCCCTTCCATTCGTTAGTGACTCTGTAAATATCATATACTGTGTGTATATTATTTGTTTAGTCTTGTCTAATAAATATCCATGTTTCACAAATTAAGAAAAAAATACAATTTTTTGTTACTTAAACAGGATCACTGAACGTGACTAAGACATATTTCGACGGTAGGAAATTCGATGTTCGTGAATTTTGAACGATTGTCTTTAGAGATTTGATAACTGTAGCTATGTCACCGCCCATAGATCCAGTGACATCGATCACAAAAGTCAATGACGTGTCTACAACAGATTCCTTGGTTTTCAGGTGAAACACATCCTGAAAAAGTTCTCTTCCAAGATCATTAATAATGCCAACATCTGAAAAAAGAAAGATTAAAACATGAAAATTATATATGGTTTAGATACTTACTCATAGGAAAATACTATGATAAAGACTATTATCTGTATTAGGTAGGAAAAAACGTGTGGACAATTGAAGTTAAAAGAAACAATGTCTTGTGATTAAGTGAAATCAGTAATGGAAATTTCAAGCAAAATGAGTGATATATTTTGAGTTGAAAATTGCTTAAGCAATACCACTATTGTTTAAGCAAGGTATGGAAAATCGTTGCTCTCAAAAGTATTACCTTCATTTATCAAAAAATACGTAGTTGCTCTTATTGCCGCCTCAACTGCTTGTGTGTGAAGATAATAATGAGGAGCCCCCTCTTTTGTACTACGTCCCTTGTAGATACCTCCTTTTGCTCGAATATTTCTACTTTCGTCATTAGATGTACCTATACTACATTTTCCTTTTCCTGAAAATATTAATAACAATTTAAAAGCAAACTCTTTAATCAGCATATCAAAAAGCAATTTTCAGAGAAAAAAAGGAAAGGATTTTTAAAAAAAAATAATACCGGTATTTTCATTTAGTGTTCGCATTTTGTCTTTGATCTAAAAGCATGTGCTAGAATTTAAAAAAAAAACAAAAACAAACAAACTCTTTAGTCTTTCTTCACCCTTTTCTCCTCTATTGAAGAATATACTTCAAATGTATGTTAATATATTACAACATTTATCATACGAGGATCTACTTCAACGTATATTAACAGGATTCTCCATCATTTAAAGTGCGCATGAGCAGCATTTTTCGGGAGATACATT